TTTACTAGAGCAATTTGACTGCAGAAAAATCTGAGAAAAAATGGACTTCTTTCATTAGTGGTCTTCAAGGAGGGCTAGAGAGCAGGCTAACATACTTTAATTTGCATTCCTGCACTGAGCAGGGAGGAGGGCGTAAATGCCCCTTCCAACTCTGATTTTGTGGTTATAATTTAGCGTTTGTGGCATCAAGTCATAGGGCTCTACAAATCAACCCCCTTGTTAATCGCTAAATTCCTCACAGCCAGACAAAAAAAGGGACACTCCGAATGCATGCGAGGAGGGCTACCTTTATTTATGTACTTGCTGGCCGCGCCCCTTTCTTTTATGCACCAATCAGATTACCGCTGGAAAGCGCTGGCCCCGTTTCTCTTGAGTGACTTGAGCGATGATACCACATAGCCCCGCCCCTTGGCTTCCGTCGCTGGTATCCTGGACATTTCGGGATATTCTTCTGTTGTTCCTGCCGGATGGAGCACAACAGGAGAAACTGGCTGGGTCTGGATTTCGTACGATAAATCTAGTTTTGGAATCCTGTACATACCCATGTAATTAAAAAAAAGCTCTTCAACATGCAAAATGATTCAAATCATGTAGTTTTTTCTAATGGAGGGATATTTTTCTCCTATTATGCAGTTCTATTTTGGCGCAGTTTTAAGATAGTGTACGTATTAACAGAGTGTACGCTTTTGCTCCGTTATGACACGCCCTCACGCCCCTATCGTCCCGGCTGTCCAGTCTCCCAACTTTCACGCTCTTCAGTGAGACCCCCCACCGAGTTGGATCATGTGACCAAGATATCCGGTCACCTGTGGGCGGGAATAGGACGTTCTGTCAAATGGCAGGAGGCGTTGCTGGCAGGGTTCCGTGACGCTGAGAACGGCGAATTTGGTGTGAAGGCGGTGAGTTTGCAGCGTTGTGGGCACTGAGAGACGTGCTCTTGAGGTGGGGCAGTTAACGCCTTTCCCGCCCTCTGGTCGAGAAGGAAGTGGCTGCCGGCTATGGAGGAGCGGTGCTGAAAAAAAGGGATCGAGATGGCGGTAAGGCCTGGGCAAGCAGTTTCTGAAGGACAGTGATGTTCGGATGGTACCGGCGGAGTCGGTGTAGATGTGCAGCGCCCTTTCTGAGGCGATCCTAGTTAGTGGAAGGTGGTCAGTCGTCTTCCATCTCTCTCAGTCGTTGGGCTCAAAGTCCTCATGGCATTTAGGATAGCGAGACATGAGCTGTGAGCGGAAGTCTCTGCTAGCGGTGGCGTTTACAAGTTTTGGAGAGAGCTGATTGATTCCGGAATAATTTCTGGGCCCGTTCTTACTTCCCCTGCCCACCGCCTGGGAAATCTTACTTGGCGGGATAGCAGTGACGGAATCACTGCTGGCGACAGCTCATCTTGGGCAGAGTGAGAAACTTAGTGGAGGTGAGTTTATTTCCATTATTCCTCTGTAGCAGTCTCCTTTTAAATTTGTTTCTCTCCTCTGCATCACAGTAAAAAAGGCAGGCTCGCATGCTTCTAGTATACAGAGTAACATTGCTTGATTATTGTGACGAGTTTAATGAGTGAGTGTTGTTGCTCTAATACTGTGTGAAACTTTTCATCTACCTAGAATAGTGGGGATAAATTCACAATCTAACTTTCCTGAATTACTCATCGTGGATTACACTTTATTTTGCACTTGTACAGTCTTTCAGTTTTATTCTCACAATCTGTATAGAGGAATTTGAGGGTTGCCCAGGCAAGATGGTGATCCATCAAGTGTTAAGCACAGATTTGAACTCTTCTTTCTGTAGTATCTCATCGCTTGATGAACCTGCCCTGGCAGCCTGGTTTTATGGAAATTTACTTGGAAGTATATGTAGCAGCATTTGGGGGGAGGGGGGGTTAAAATTAAACCCATTAAAACAGAATTATATATATAAAGTCACTGTATGCAATGGGATTTACTTTCCACTTGCATCTGGAGAGGAGATTTAACAGAGAATGCCACAGCTTGTAAATTAGACTGGGAAGTTGAAAAAAATCCTGGAGGAAGGCAGCAGCAAACCACTTCCGTATTGCTGCCAAAAAAAGTGCATGGTTTGTGTCCACGTAGTCATTAGTGATCAAGCTTGATTAGAGAGTTTTTATGTTTAAACAAAATAAGATTGCAAGTTTAGTCAATTACAGATTTTGTCTCATGTTATGTATACATGTATGGATGGCAGAATCCATTTACGTAACTAGACTCCCAATTTTACCTAATTCTGAACTTGTTGACCCTAATTTTTTATATGTATTTGTATTTAAAGTGTATTTTTCACAAGAGCAATGCCCATGACAGCTTATTTGCATTATTCAGCCACCAAACCTTATTTCTCTGCTCCCATTCTTCAGATCATCCTAGACAAATAGGATATTTTCTTGAAAACCTCAAGTGATGGAGCACCCACAACTTCAGGAGGCAGGCTGTTTCGCTGCTTAATAGCTCTCTAAGAACTCTCCAAGGCCATCTTCTGAAATCTAATACTACACTCTTAATCTTTAATTTATTTTTAACCACTTTAGTGCAGAATAGATTCTATCTAGTTTTTGATAAGAATATTTGTATGTATTTGCAGTCTTGCTAATATAACTCATATAGTTAAATACTGTAACCCTTCAGCTGTAGGAACCTTTTAATTTTTTTTGCACTACAATACTAAATTGTGAATTGTACCTTATTTATGGGAAAAACATTTAAGTTCATTCTTGGTTTTTCCACAATTTCTAGTGACACTTTATACAAATGTATGTGGTTGAAAGATTCAAGGAATATATATAATTACAAGATGAATTATTAATTAATTTAAAAGCCTATAAAAAGATAATTAAATTATCATTTGTGATTTCACCAATGTGAATATAATTTTGGAAATACATTTTCTTCTGCTTGCATTGTATTTTAGTTAATTGTGTGTGTGTGTGTGTGTGTGTGTGTAATAGTATTGTACTTTGTGTTAAAAATTATTTGGCTTCCTTGTCTGTTCTAAACTGTGGGTCAGTTAACTGAAAGAAAAAGGTCCCTAAAAGCTAATTCCACTGAGATCCACAGTCTAAATTCATGTAAATTGAAAAGTGGTTTGAGAAAAAAATAATGTCTGAAATGGAAAATTAAAAATTGGGGGGTTGAGAACATTGATTTTGCTAATATATCAATGTATTAAAGACTTGATATATGATTTTATCTGTATTTTTAATGCAGATAAAATGCAGGATGTTCTTTTAATATCAGGCATCAATTTTTTTTTAAATGAAGTAAAACATATTTTCTAGTATATATGCTTACTGCTTAGTAATCAAAAATATTATTTGGTTTAAGGTGAGAGTTTACAATACAGGATAGTAACCTTTTCATATTTGGGGTGCCATAGTGTAATTTTTTGATTATGCTGGTACAGATGCTTAAAATAAAAATTTAAAAATTAAGTCTTCTGAAATTTGATCTTGCAAGTTTTTGGCCATTGGGGATTCTGGGGGCTATAGGAATACCACAGATTCTTGGCATCTATGTATGCTGTTTGCAACCTGGGTTTGACATATAAGGGACATGTAAACATTTAGAATTTGAAACATTCTTGAGTTCAGAATTGGCCATTCTGAACTTACTGGAAGTTTTCTGATAATTTCAAAAATATTTCAAGCTTAAAACAATTCTGTTTTCAGTTCAAAACAAGTATTTTAAGCTTGGATCACTTCTGGAACGATTTGAACAGCATTGTAAGGTTTCTACTTATGTTGGAACAGAATTTAAATGTTTTGCATTCAGAATGTTTAGCATAGTACTACTAAAATTCTGAGCTGTATGAATATTATGATAGCTTTTATAATTTAGGCTCCATTTAATACTTTGCCTTGATCTTTCAGTTTGTTCAGGAGGGATGCACTCAAGCAGACATTGAGCAGATGCACCTTTAACAAGGCATAGTTCTTCCACAAAACACTGTAATAAATGTGCTGCTTTATGGATTTCTAAGAGAGGCAATCTCATCTTTTCCTGGTAGCCTGAGATCTCATACCTTTATTACTCTAGTGGGAGGAAGGTTTCAGTGCCTTGCATCTTATTGATCACCATCAGCAGAATGGAAATAAAAAACAAATTTAAGTTTCTTTTCAAACAGCAACAGCTCAAGCCAGTGTTGAAGTAGGTCCTTTCTTGGAGAGAGAAAAAAGATGGAGACAAAAATGAAGAAAGCACTCATCTGGAACTTGAATACACTTTATAAGTCGAAAGAAGTACTTAATATTTAAATCCCCTACGCTGGTGACAAATCTGCAAAATTCATTGATTCAGGAAGGGAATGTTCCAGAGAATTCCAGAATGTTTCATTTTTCCCTGGACGATGCTGTTCTGGTGTGATTCACTAGTTTCTGGAAGCAAATTCTCCAAGCCAGAAGTAGTTAAAAGTGAAGAATCCAGCCCTAAAACAGGGTTGCTTCATCCAGAACTGCTTCTGGTTGGGGAGTTTATTTATGGAAACCTCTGAATGGTTCATGAGGAGTTTCAGCATGAAACAGAATATCCCTAGACTGACAAATTTTGTATATCCCTACCTGCACATTTCCCTATAAATTCCCTTTAAAATTAAAGAATTGTAGAGCAGCCTGAATGTGGGGTACTATGCATAAGAAGGTATTACTACACTGGCTTATGGGGGAAGCAAGGAAGACATGAAGCAATAGGACCCTTAATGGTATTGTTTCCACTCCCTTCTGATAATTTCTGGCAAGATAGGTTGTATTGCAGGAAATATTCTGTTACTGAAATTGGCTGGAGGAGAAGTGCCCTTGTCAAGGACCTTTCATGTAATGTTTTTGATGGGAGATAAACTGCTATCCCCCAGCCAATTTCTATTAGTAGTTGCCTAGCCCCACACATAAATACAAACCAGTGTCAATATTGTTTCATTCATTGGCATGAAAGAAAAATTAACTTGGTGAACAGACTCTTTTTTCAAGCCGCATATAGACAGCTTGCCTTACTTCTTTATTGCTGCATTCAGAAACAATTTCTTTCTTGACTTCTGTAATGAAACAGTATTTATTGGTATGATAGAATGCAAGTAAAAGATTAACTGAACACTTCTCTATAGGGAAGGCAGCCAGAAAGCTGAGAACTTGGAGATATAGAGGGCATTAACAGTGGAGACAAGCGTGCACAGTTAGAGAAAAATAGGGAAAAGAAAAGAAAGAACTAACCAGTACTGTATGCATAAAACAAAAGAAGAGAGTTGTTTGTCAAAGTGAATGATTGTTTTGTAATTATGCAGTTTTGCTAATTCCCTTTAAAATATGAATTATTATATTATTTACCTATATGTTACTATAAATAAAGTTTTAATTGTTTATAATTAGCTGGATCTCAGAGAGAGAATAAAGTATTCCCCCCCCCCCATTATGATAGTACATTACTAGTAAAAGAAACTTCATAATTTTGGAGTGATAGCAGCAAGACTTTAAGATATATTTATCCTCCAAACTTAGAAGAAATTATGCTACTTCTGACCAAACATACCCAGTGTCATCACAACATCCAGCTATGAAGGAGCAAGCATGCTACTTCACATGTATTGCAATACTTTGCACAGATTAAAACAGTAGCTGAACAGTGGTAAACTGAAATTTGGTGCTATATCTCTGTCTCCCATGTGCCCAGGGTCATCTGCAGAATGACAAAAGCAGTGTTACAGCATTGTGCTACAAGCATCTCCCTTTTAAGTGGCTATGCGACATTGTGATACACATAGAAAAAGAGAGGGGCTTGCATTACAGCACTGCTTTTGTAGTCTGACCCCCTTTGTCCCCCTTGGACTCCATTGCATGGACCTTTAAGAATTATTGGCTTACTATTGCTCAGCTATTTATTTAGCCCCTGCAAAAGCTTTTTTCCAAAAGCTCTCCAGAATTTCAAAAAGTACTTAAGCCAGAGCCCCTGAAGATGATCTTACAAGATACAATAGGGAGGAGAGGGGTGCCCAGGACCAAAATATATTGCCTTGCACATTAAAACATTAATATTGATCAATTTCACATCTGTTGATTTCCATACAATGGTTTTATATTACAAAAAACAAAAATTAAGTGGGAAATTTTTAAAAAGTGAGTAAAACTGACTAACAAAATTGAATAAGGTATAAAGGAGTAAATAATTGGGGATGTGTGAAAAAGATAAAATATGCTTAGTTCAGGCTTTGAACATCATAGCTCCATGTGAAACATTCAGTTGGAATGTTTTCAATTTGCTGTGGTCCAGCAGAACAAAACTCAAAAGATTTCAAGTGTACTATATTCTGTTGGAACAAAACTCAAAATGGTTTGAGAGTTTCAGCCATAGGAACTTGCTGTGCACAAGGAGAACTTGCTATAGCCCTTGCTCCCTTGTCTTTCATTTACAAGATTGTTGGGTGGCAACAAGATTGTTGATGTCTTGCAGGTAGTTCTCGCTTAACAACCATTCGTTTAGCAACTGTTTGAAGTAATGGTGGTACTGAATGTAAATGGCACTTACACCCTGTCCCCAAAGTTATGACTGTTGCAGTGCCCCTGCAGTCACATGATCAAAATTTGGGTGCTTGGCAGCCTGCCTGCACTTAAAACCACAGAGGTGCTTCAACTTCCCCCCCCCGCCTATCTCCCCCCAACTCTGCCCTTTTGGCCGCCCTGCACAGTGGCACTCTGCAGCAGTGGCAGCGCCAGCAGTCCTGGGGCTGAAGTAGAGGCCTGGGGCCTTCAGCAGTATCAGCCAGCTGCCACCATCCCAGGGCTCTATTTCAGCGCTGCCACTGCTGCCAAGTGCTGCCTCAAGCCCCGCGTCGTGGCCAGTCACCCCAGCACCACAGTACAGTGCCCCCGCCGCCCCCACCACTCTGCACTCCACCAGCCCTGCCATGCCGAGCTGACCTTCACTGTCTTCTTCCTCCTGCTACTGATGAGGCATGCCTGGTCTGGCCTGGCCCTATGCAACACAGCTGCTGGCTGTGCCATGGCTTCTTCCTGAGGCCATGTGCGCCATTCTCCAAATCATGTGCACCATTTTCACGATGCTCAGAAGTCTTCTATGCATCATAAGGAGGGCGTGCATGATTTGGAGAAAGGTGACTATGGCCTCAGCAAGAAGGGCTGGCACAGCCAGCAGCTACTTTGCATAGGATCAGGCCAGGCACACATCAGCAGCAGTGGGAAGAAGAAGATGGCAAAGTTCAGCTGGGTGTGCAAGGACCAGCGGAGCATAGGGCTGTAGGGGCAGCTGGGGTTTTGCTCTGCAGCACTGTGGTGGCTGGCCATGGCATGGGGCTTGAGGCAGCATTGATCAGGGGCGGTGCTGGGGCTGCAGTAGAGGTTTGGAGGCAGCGGCAGCGGCAGTGACTGGCTGAGACTGCTAAAAGCCCCAGGCCTCTACTTCAGCCCCAGTGCCACCACTGCTGAAGAGTGCTGCTGTGCAGATGACCGAAAGGGCAGAGATGGGGGGAGATAGATGGGGGGGAGTTCAAGAGGAGGCAGTCCCTTACCTTACTGAGGCTTGGAAATGGAAGGAACCAAGCTACAAATGGCTTGGATCTGGGTGGGTCCTTGCCTAATGATCCATGGGATTCCGTCAACAATGACAATGGGGACTGCTGGTATTTCTGTAACTAAGCAATGCAGTCATGTGACATTGTGCTTTACAACCACATCACTTAGCAATGGAAATTCTGGTCCCAATTACCATAGTTAACCAAGGACTACCTGTATTAGTATATCCACTGGCAGAAAAATAGATGAAACAGACTTATTTTGAAAACATTTTTGAAAATGTAAAAAAATACTTCACAGGATAGAATGAATCAGTACTCTTCTTTCTCCAAGATTCTGAAGAGTCAGTCAATCTTCAGTTAGTTAAATTCCTAGAGGTGCTCAATGAACACACAGAAACAAAGAGAGCTAATCACTCCCTTTTGAGGTTGCAGACTCGAAATCTTTAAGAGAAGGTAAAAATAATCAATCAAAATGAGAGTGATATCACAAACAGTAACTTACACAATGCACATGACTATGGGTGCAGTATTTAAACAGAATAATTTATAAGCAATGGGAATTTCAGCAGAAGAAAAACATTACATTTTCAGTGAATATTAGAGCAAACTGGTACAAGATATTTAACAGAACGAAACTAACTCTAACATTGAATTTCCTTTTCAATCTGAGTTATTTCTATTAAATATGACTAAACTTTATATTCCAATGAAGCATACTGAATAAGCCTTGTACTGTATATGATAACTGCTGCAAAGATATAGTACATGCATCACTGGAAAATATATATAATTCTCTCTGTAGAAGAAGATCAAGTTGTAGGAGAATACTTCATTGTCTAAATTAACTTCATGTTTGAAAAGCAAAACTGACTGAGAATTTAACTCAACATCAAAAACCATTTCTGGACTATAATTTCATACATGGGCTTGTACTACATCAAAAATGTGGGTCCACAAGAGTCTGTCAACAAAATTTTAACTGACTAGATAGAGACTGCGGTAATTTCTTCTTTTTCTTCACATTTTATACTGTTGTTGAGACTTGTATACTAATTTGATTTTAATAAGAGAATCACCCTTTGGGGGAGATGGGCGGCATATAAATTTAATAAATAAATACATATTTGTAGTTTTTAAATTGTGTAAGAGACATTAATTTTAGAAATTTATAAGGCTGCTCAACTCTTAAAACAAGTCTGGGTGGTGTGCAATAAAAACAATCATATGATACAATATAAAAACCAACAACACCCAAATGCCAGAAGAAAAACTACAATTAAAAGACAAACACATAGGGAACACCCACTAAAGGCAGAGCCTAGGGAAAGAGGCAGATTTTCAGACCTCTTTTGAACACAGCCAGGGTATAGGCCAGATGTATCTCAGGAGGAGGGCTGTTCCAGAAGGCATACTTTCTAGGTTCTATCAGGTGACACTGATTAATAGTGTCATCAGGTTACACTAATTGGACCTGGAGCATGCTAACTCTGCCTGATTAGGCCAGGCAGAAGCCACGGAAGAGAGGTGGTCATTTAGATAACCAGGCCGTGTGCCATTTAACTATGTAAGATCAAACTAATGCTATACTGAAAGTTCTTATCTAACATATTCAATTTTATTCATTTTCATGAAGTTTGTAAACTTCTTGTATGTTCATTATGTGTTTTTTTTGTTCTGTTTTGGTCTCCTTTTTCTGTTCTTATTTGTCTTTTTTCCTCTTGAAAATGTTTAATAAAATAAAATGACAATGACAATGACAATAAAGTAGAGGTGGGCAATTTTTGATGCTAAATGTTGCTGGCCATACTCATTGAAATTTAGCTACATTTGGAAACATCTCATTTTTTTTCTTATTTACAGGATATAAAAGCAAATAAATTATTTCTGATCTATAAATTAGGGCTTCCATTCACTGAATAATTTTGGATTTATGAGAAATCACATTTTATAGTAATTTTATTAAAGATTACAATTACAGCAGTAAAAACTAATACAAACTAAAAAAAATGAAAATAAAAAAAACAAAAGATATAGAAAAGAAGAAAAAGAAAAAAGAAAAAAAAAGAATATAGTAAAAGAAAAGAAATATATAAAGAAGTGATTTCCCCCTTCATCACAACAAGTATAAACAATTTTATTAACTTATCACCTTGTCCAAATACAACAAATGATCTCTACTTCCCATATCACAACTCTTATCTATAAATAAATCCATAAAGTCTCATCATTTCAGACCTAATGTCAACAAAAGTGCATTAAGGGTTACCAGAGATAACAACATACATATTTTAATCTTGATCAAATAAAACAACTTTATATTCCTTCCTTTTACTTCTAACAATCTTGATGTTTAGTTGCTTCAAATAATGTCCTAGATTTCTAGATTTCTTTTTATTTTTTTGGTCCCTTTTCACAAAATTCTTCAAAGCTTTAACAAGACTCTTTTGTAAATCCAATATAGGAAAATTATCCAAGTCACTCTCTTTGTTTGTTATTTGTATATACCTTTTAATTATTAAGACATCAGCCAGTTCCTTTTGTATGTCCAGTGTAACATCTTTTTCCATGTCATTTTTGTAACCTGTCATTTTTAAATCTGTTTTCAAACCAGTCTCGGTCTTGTCAGGTAGAACTTGTTCCTCTTCCATAACATCATTTAAACACAGTCTATCTGTGGAGGCACTCTGGGTCCATTGTTCAAAAATATCCTTCAGTATGTCCAATGTTAAAATATTTTGCTTCATTCTGTAATTGTAAGTAAACTTTGTTTTTCTCCTTTAATTGTAATCTTTAATTCCCTCTAGTTCCCTCCAGTGTCCAATTTTTGAAGTCTTATTTTTTTTAAATCAAAACAAAAGCATTTTCCCATTGGAAGGATTCTTTATAATTACTTCCAAAATCTTATTTCAAATTTATCTGGACCGTTAGTTCATTTACAGCTTTCTAAAATCAAAGGTTTAATCACCCTCTTGCTGGTTATTCCAAAAAAATATTTTTTTAATTTTTAAACTTGTATTTAAAATGTCTTTCACTAAGGATTGAAGTAAAGGCACCTGTTGCTATAAAACATATTGATGCAAAGGTTCCTAATAACTGAAAAGCAGTTAACAAGCAATTTCCTAAAGTAATTAGAAAAGGAAGTATGCAAACTTAGTGTCCTTTCAAACATGCAGACCACAGTTTGAGTAGGATGGCTATTCCCTCGTCCCCCATAACTCTCAACCCGCTGGAGACCACTATCTTGTGGTCTCCTCGTGAAGAGCAGCTGTCTGGAGTGCTTATAGGCGATCTCAAGTCCTTTCCTTGTCCGGAGAGAAATTATCGAAGAGCCAATCTACTTACTGGCTCTTCATTCCACTATGGTTGTCAGCTCCGCTTTTCATGGAGCTGCTTCAGTCTGCCATTTTTCCCTCAGAAGTCTGAAATCACATTTTAATCACTGAATTTCTCTATGAAATTACAGTTCATTTTACTTTGAGTAGTTATTGATATTGAGAATGACCTTGTCATGTTGATTAAGGTTCACATTCACAGTAAGACTGGAGCGCCTATACTTCAAGCAGTTTCCATTGTCAAAGGATTTTTCTGTAATAGGTAAAAATTGGTAACCTTTTAATTCACCTTGTATATGCTTGATTCTTCCAATCCTTTAATGTTTTCCTCCTTTTTCCATAGATGCAGAATATGATGGCAGATGTGGGATCAAAGAAGTGCCATTAAATCAAATATAAAAATAAGTATATATTAAAGTTAAAAGTGCCATGAGGAAATTTGCATATTGCAAGGTGGTCCTTGCCACTTCATTGGTTTGGGTCCTTTTGGATATGTTTTTGTTACTTTACTTCAGTGAGTGCAACAAATGTGATGAAAAAAAAGAACGGGGACTTCCACCAGGAGATGGTAAGTGTTATCTTAGTTACAACTTTCAGGGTCCAGGAAAAAAAAAGCTTGAATGGACAGTGATTCAGACTGAATTTGCCTTCAGATGAAATATTAATGTAAGATGATTGAACTGATAAGAGAAAAGCATGTTTGTTTTCATTAAAAGTGATCTAGACCAGAATAACTGTGAGGTAAATCTCTCCTAACCATATTGTATCACAAAGTAAATTCCATTCTTTTTCATAAGCAATTTAGTGTGCATGGCAGTTGTTTAAGAAATGAAAAATAGCTTGGATATGTTGAAGTAGATTTTTAAATACAGGCTGTAATTTGTTGCAAAGCTGTCAGAGACTGCTGTTTTGCTGCAGTCAATCTGTTATGTCTTGCTGGTGCTTGAGGAAGGGGAGAAAGCAAAATAACCTTTGCAGAGACAAGTTTACTTTGAATTGGAGTCTCGATTGAAGGAGAAATGGAAATTTAAATAGTATCTGCTGTTGAGGAATGTACGATTCTGGCTACTTGCTAATGACAGCTAGTGAGGTTTTTACTTGTGGATAGTGACGTGGGAAGCCAAATGGAAAGAAAGCAATTTCTTCCCTCCCCCCCCCCGTCTTCCCAATAATGGTGGATGATTATAAGCATTGAGAAGCTAAAATATTTACTGGAGGCTGTTGTGACTTAATTTTAATTGTTGTACTCTTGTTTCTATGGTCATGCTCAAAAGATGCCTAATTGCTTGCCAAGATTTTTATTATACCATGATGGGGAAACAGGTGTCTGGGAAGTTCTGTCACAAATTTTGATATACTGGAGAACAGCTTCAGTGCAAACATGAGATTTTTATAATTTATTGTTTGATGAAAGCTAGGCTAAATAAAAAATCTAGGGTTGGCATCTAGTATTTAGTAAGGACAATGCCAGCTGAGCTGCTTTTGAAGAGGTTCAGAAACAAAGTTCAATTCAAACTAACAAATGTGTGCAGTTTACCCTTATTAATTCCTGTTTACCTGAAAAGATAATCTTAGGTTTAAAGCTTAATTGTGGTTTAAAATTCCCTCTTCATAGTTCAGTCTTCATAAATATTAGTATCCTCCAGCTATTTGAATGTCAACACCTATTAGAGTAGGTCATGGGTGATAGGAGTTTCCGAAGGTATGGGCTAGCAAATCTGTATTCATTTTGCTAGCAGACCATCAATAGTTTTTAAACTTTTAAAAAGTATATTTAGGTTTTAAGAAGCATAGTGGCTTAAGCTATCTCACTTTTCTATTCTTAGGTTAGAACAACTTACAGCCATCTTTTTTCCCATCTGGGATCCCAGCACTGGCTTCAGTGTCTGATGTGCTAACACTTTCCATTACTTGAGTGCTGGCTGCCACTTGGCTCTCAATTGATGCTGCTTTTGGTTCTGGTCCAGTTTAACCATCTTCTGTGTTATCTTACTTATCTCTGCCATATACCTTCCACTGATGCAAGATAATTAATGATTTCTCTGGATCCCTATAGCAATTATTTACACTCAGATGCTGTAGACTATAACTTAGTTCAAACAATACCTCTTCTGTCCAACTGGCCCTTTTTTCTTTAGCATCTTTTGTTATTAACTGAGGCATGGGTGTAGAGAGAGAGATGGGTTTTTGAAGTAAATTGTCTTTTTATGGAGCAGCTTTTCTGCATTGCAGCTGCTTTGGACTTTGAGGTTACCAGACTCAGCCGGTTTTGGGTAATCTGGTGTACAAGCCTGTCCACTCTGCAACACTGACTCTAGCAAGTCACACCTTTTTGCCAACTCTGAGCAGATTGTGAGAGGTTTCTGGCAAAGTCATTGCAGTTTTGAGAACAAAAAGGACATGGAATCAAACCCAAGAGCATATTTTTCACCAAATATATTCAGCTTTAGAATGTTCTTAAATGACATTCTGGTCAGTTACATCATCTACTGTATGAACAGTTGACTTCTCAAAGAACCAGTTACAGATGTGCAGCTTCTTTGTATGGCTACTGTGAAGGATTAATGTTTGCATTTTTTCCCAAAATACCTTTTTCCAGTTTCAATGGTTTATGTCATATAGCTTTCTTTTCCTAACTGCTGAATATATCTGTGCATTCAATATTTATGAAGGTTATAGCATTATAGTACATTAAGTACAGATACTGTGGTCCCTTTTAAATTCTTTAGTTATGAAAATATTTTTATTAGTTCCAGAATTGGTACAAAAACCTCATGAAGGCCCAGGAGAAATGGGGAAGCCTGTTGTCATTCCTAAAGAGGACCAAGAGAAAATGAAGGAAATGTTTAAAATCAACCAGTTTAATTTAATGGCCAGTGAAATTATTGCACTCAACAGGTCTTTACCTGATGTCAGATTGGAAGGGTAAGTGTATCTATTGTATTTTGAAATTTGTTATTTGGAGTGAATATGGATTGGATGGAACATTGGACCACAAAGAAAGGTATAGTTTTATTCTCTCCCTGGGAAATGAAGCAGCCAAAATTTTCTCCTCTTATTCCTAGTTAGAATAGGAAGTAAAAAGAGATCTCTATCACCTTAGCATGACTCAGATGTCCAGTTAAACCAGAAGCAGCATCCTAGAGACCATCACTTCTCCACCATCACACAGTGGTATCCCCAAGCAATAATGACAGCCAGATTTCATCAGTAAAGTTCGGGTTTTGTCAAGTTGCCTAGCACTGGCCTCCATCACCATCTAAGTATATCATAACTGGTTCATGTCTTGTCACAAATCAGAGCAGGAGAAGCCATTGACATTTACTTGCCATCAGGACCATATAATAAGAAAAGTTGGCAGAACTGGCAGAAAGGTTCTCTGGGTGCTACTCTATTTTCTTCATTGTACCCCATATCATAGCTATTTATATTATATAGTTGTTCTCTGGTAACCCAATTATTTTTTTATATCTCTTGCTAAATGAAATAATAACTTTATGTGAAAAGCTGCTTAATGTATTAAACGATTAGACAGTCCCAGGACTCTTTGGGAAGATTAATTTTATGGTACATTTTTAATGAACTTGGATCTCTTCCCAAATATAAGAAATAGTTCAAAAGGGACTACAATTTCTCTATGACCAATGTATAGATCACTACAATTAAGAGATGAAAAAGCCTCTGGCAACAGCATCATTTTAGATCCTTGACTTGATTGAGAAATGAAAGCTGCTTTTTTCATTCAACTAGACTTAGTTTTTATTTGGTCACTGTTTTGAAACTATATTTGAATATTTTATTTAAGCCTTTGAATAAGTGAATACTTAGCAATGTTAGACTAGGAAATTTAATATTGAATGGAGAACTTGTTATGCAGAAGGAGAAAACCTTCAGATAATATATATAACTGTACTGTCAATTTGTCATAATAGAGCCACTTATCACTTCTTGGAATCTGTGGAGATTTAACTATAGTAAGCCTTTTTTAATGTCTTATACAAAGTGGAGTATGTCTTCCACAAACACGTCAATAGTGTGTGTCAAATAATTGTGTTCCTTTTAATATTCAGCTAGGGAGTCTGTAACTAAAAGGTGATATTCAGCTAGGGAGTCTGTAACTAAAAGGCGATAAATATTTAAGTTTGTCCTGTTGCTAAAAAGAATAGGTGCCTTAACATTTATCATAAATTGTAGTTTTTGAGTCTCAATCAATTTGCTTAATAAAGTTCCTAATTTATTGCAAAATGGGACCAAAGCTGTAAAATTTCCTGAAATTTGGAAGCAAAAGAAAAAAATGCTCTATCATTTTTTTCCTGCCTTTTGGGAGAAAGGGAATTCACATTTTGGATGTAGTCTTGGTGGTTATTATTATTTGAGTATTGTTACAATATTCTTCCTCCTCCTCTTCATCTGTATCCTGCCTTTTTGTATGGGATCTTGAGGCAGTGTAGTACTGAATCATCTCCCACATTATATCTCAGCATTAACTAACTGGTGAGGTAGCCTGGGATGAGAAAGAATGATTAACCCAAAGTCACTCTGTGAGACCAGTGGTTGAGTGGTAACCTGAGTTTTCCTGACCCATTAATAATTACAATGCACAGGCTTAATTGAATTTACTTCAACATGTTTTTAATTTTTGTTTTAAATAAAGCTTGAAGCTTGTGAATTCTAAGGAATGTAGCATTCCATCATTTTGCTGTTTCAGAGAAGTGGCAGGCAAAATGTTAACATTGAAAGCATAAGAAACAATCAGCATTGCATTAAAACAAAATTATATATTTTGTCTTTTACTGTATAACAGAGATACAGAAAGCACAAAATTATTGCTTAGTTTAGCAATAATAGAGTAAGCCAAAACTAAGGCCATGTTAAAGGTATTGATGATTAATAATAATAATTAATTAATATCATTACTACTAATTATTAATAGTTGTTAATTGTCATTCATGTATAATTCATCTTAGTGATCCTGGAATTACATCCAACAATTTGGCTGAAATAATTGCAGTAAAGGTAGTAACATTTATGTGGTGACAAATCTCACAATTTTGCCAGAAGTAAACATCTTCCCCATCCATTCAAATTGCATTTCCCATCCCAACCAACTAGGATGAAAATAGTAAAGCAGCCAATCAACCACTTAACAGAGCAACAGCATAATCCTTTGTTTTGCCCTTGGCTGTTATAAAATGATGCATGTGGAAGAATGCAAGGCAGTTGATCTTTGTGTAAAGTAAATGAGATAGTAATCTTTTGCTATGCAGCCAGAAATTATCATTCCAGGCCTTGGCCCGTCTATAATACCCCTGGCTGTCATTCTAATCCCTGACCCATTATTTCTATTTCATGAGCTATACTTGTCCTGTAGGTTTTCACCTGGAGACTCTGCAGTCCTCTCCTCAGACTATTATTCCACGGCTACATATGCTATTCCATTCCCTGTCATATCCTTATAATCCATCAATTCTCTTATCTCATAATCTCTGCAAGAATAAATAACTTGCTGCCCAGTACTTAATTACATTCCCAATCTTTTGAGGCCAATTCAGGCTGAACATCAGTTTCCTCAAAAAATGAACAAGAAAGCATTCAAACAAAGAAGGCAGTGAATCCTTTCTGCTTTTTTAGTGAAAATGGGAGTGCCCTGTCACAGTAGAAATACATATTGTATAACAAAATATTTTTGTTGCAAGAACATTTTGGGGAAGTTTCACTATATATTTTACCTTAAACATTTTCTATTTGTTTTAGGTCTTTAAATTCTTAAAGTTAACCACTTAATCAATCAAACAGACAAAAAAGGTTTTTTTTTGGTGGGCCTTCATATCAGTAATTACAAATATAAATGTATCCTGAGAAAAGAAGAGAACCAGATGGGAGATACTAATGTAGAATAAATGGTTGATGTGGTGCTGTTTGGCTATCACTTAGATCAGAAGTGGGAAACTTCTGGCCCCAGGGTTGCATGCAGCCCCTCTTTTGTTGCACCTTCCAGAACCATCTCTGATCGTATTTGCTAGAAATAGTGACATAGCTTTCTGCTGTTTTGAGATGTTGTGTAATATAAGACTTAAAATAGATTAATGGATTTTTTTAAAAGAACAGGAGAACATTAATGGGGTTTCTCATAGGAACTCCTACCCATTTTCTATGAGTTGAATTAAGTTTATCCTTAATTAAGCTCATATTAATGAGGTCCTGCTTAGCATTTGGAAATACTGTATATATAAAAGAGTCCAAATTTCTGGTTGGGCAGTGCTTAAATGTATTAATCTAACACAGTGGGTGACAATCTGCTGAATATAATCTATTGGATAAGCATTAGCTCTCAGTATCAGCTGGAATCAAAGGAGCTGCAAGAGGTGATTTATAATTTGGATATTAGAAGGGATAAAAATTTCATTGTTTTTATCCCTTCTAATACCCTTTATGTTTTATGGTGACAACTAGGACATGCCTTGCATTTTGAAACTGTAAGTTGAAACTGGACCATTAAAAAGTTCAGTATTTAGTTAATACAAACTTCTCTAAAGCTTGGTAAGAATTTACAGCTTTAAGATTAGAATTCTGCTTTCAATCATGATAGAGAGTAGATATTGGCAAATTTCTATTCTACAAGGACTCTGCCCTTGTAACTCTTGGATTGACGATCTACTACGGGATTTCTCTCAGCTCCATTTGGATAAAGAAAAAATTTTTTTTTTCTTTTACCTGACTTTAAAAAGGAAGGATTATGGAATGTTGCCCTACTTTCAATAGCTGCATAGATGATCATATGGAAGTTAAATAATAGTAAGTGTGAGTTCAGTGCTGAATTACAGTATATTGTTTTAATTGTATTCTAAAGTTATGTAATGTTAATGGATGTAATGGCCTATGGTTGCACATATTTAATTAATTATAATTAAATTATAAGCTCAATTAATATCCCAGTGAAATAGTTTGGATCTTTTTTTCATTATTTTGATTAAGTTGGAAAATGTATCTAACATATATATTAGAATCTAGGCTATTCTTGTTTTCATATCCTGAAGAAAGAAGTACAGCTGCTAAAACCTTTTGGATATATCATATTTAAACACCTTAATTATAAGGGTGAGTTGATAAAGGGCAAAGGATATGCTTATAGCCAGATTTCCCAGTAACTTTCATTTACTAGGAACATATGCTTTGAAGTATATGTGTTTTAAAGTCTCAATAGTCTCTACATGTACCTACCTGAAAAGCTCTAGAAACCATTTTCTAGGTATCCTTGACCAGTGAAGTTTAAGCAAGTGGCTATAGGGAATAAGACATCTTCTGAAATTACATCCGAGATGTGAAGTGTTCTCCCTAAATATGCTCCTACTATCATTTTGATATCAGATAATTATTTTTATTTTTTCAGATCTGATCCTTTGTTAAATATCAGGAGTTTGTATGCTTTATTGGCTAATTTATCTGTTTTTAATCTTTTAATTGTCACTATAACTTGTCCTCACAGTGTGGTTATGAATGGATGGATGGATGGATGGATGAAAGATGATCAGGAAACTGTTTTTCTAGCTGCCTAAAAATTATTATTCTAGTGTACCTGTCAAGATTGATTAATCCTGTAATATATAATACATGTACTATATTCCATACTAAATTGCAGTATAAATGTATTTATTGCTGTGTTGCTTTATTTTTATATTTTAGATGTAAGACAAAAGTATATCCTGATAACCTTCCTACAACAAGTGTTGTAATTGTTTTTCATAATGAAGCTTGGAGTACTCTCTTGCGAACTGTTCATAGTGTAATAAACAGATCACCAAGACACATGCTGGAAGAAATTATTCTGGTAGATGATGCTAGTGAAAGAGGTAAGAATTTATCATTGATTGCATCAGTTGTCATTGGGGCAAATTCAGACTTCTCTTGGCATAGCTCTAAGGCTCGCTTCATACAAAGGAGATTTGTTACCCAGATAATATTTATGTGTTGTAGAAATTGTCCTTAGCATTTACAAATTTCTTTCAGAAATTTACAAATTTCTTTCAGAATAAATGTATATCTGGAGAATGTTTGAAATCTCCCTTGATTTTGGTGATATGAAGGAAGGTTCCAGGTCTAACCATTGGGTTGTGTTAGGCTTGTAACATAGCAGATTGAAGACCAAATTTAATTTATTTCCAGGATTGATCATAGTGCAGTATATTATCCATGCTTGCCTGCACTAAAAGAAAAAGTCTCACTCATGCTGTTTCAGTTCTTTCAATTAAATATATTGTAAAAAAAATTTTTTTTTTCCTAAATGGCCAGAATCTTACGAGATTGTTACTTCTCATAAGATTCTGGTGTTTTCATCTGAAATCTTTGATGATGTTATGCAAGACCATATCAATTTTGTGAGATCAGGCAATCTCACAAGGTATTGGCTATTTTCAAATATTTTTATTTGTATCCATACCAGGGGTCCCTTCCAATGCACTCTCAAACAGAAGTTGGGAATTATTGTGGTAATGCTCAGATATACGTGAAATCTATATGAGATTATGGCTATTTTTAAATATTATTTTATTTGTAACCATATTAGGGATCCCTTCCAATACACTCTCAGCCACAGCTTGGGAACCATTGTCGTAATGTTCAGATGTATGCGAAATGAGTATTTATTAAATATGTTAAATTTGTTAAAACTGTATCTCCTGATCACTTTTTAGTTGAATTTTGTAGTCGTTCTGTTAAATACAGTGTATCCACATGCTGTTTTATCTTTAAAATTGTCCTGAACATACTTCTGAGGAGAGGTCTTTCATCGTATGCAGAATTAAATATTGCTGAAACAAGAACAATTGCATTACACTCACTGAGTTAAGAAGTAAATAAGATTACAGTATTTTGTATACCTCCTTTTCTTCTAATTGTTTATAACATAATATTCACTCTATGTTTTGAAGTAGCTTCTGTGACTGATGTACATTTTATCAAGCAAATTTAGGTCTAAATTTTTATTAAGCTGAAAAATAGTTACCCAATGCAGATTTTATTCACATGCTAATTAAAACATTCTGATTAAAATTTCAAATATACATGGAATAGATTCCAATTTTTTTTTCAGTTTTTCAGTTACAAAGATTGAGCTTCAAATTTACTCGTAGTTGCTTGAATTTAATAATTTTTTCAGTATTATTGACATGTTTATGAAAAAAATTAAATTTCCAAATGGCACAGATATGGGTGCAGTTCAATCCAAATTGGTGGATGCTGCCTTCTTTAAGTGCCCCAACACCCCATCTTCCTGCCAAATTATTTTTTAAATAGGCCCTGTATTTATTACAACATCCAGTGAATCCTCTCAGTATGTAAACCAGAAATCAAATATAGGAAAAGTTAATTTCAGAGGAATTCAGTTTGAACTGCCGTACTGGTAAGTGGGAAGGGTAGAGAAGGAATTTTTACCTTACCTCTCCAGCAGTGCTAGCTGCATGAGGAAGAAGAAGCCATGCAGTGGGAACAATGAATGCTTGGAAATACTTGGCAAGAAAGGATAGATGAACAAGGAGCAGATCCATGCTATTGGATCTGATCAACCAGTGGTATTAATTGGGCATGGAAGATGAGTTCCAAGTACCTGAAATAGTTCTATTACCCCATCTTCTCCAGAATGGAAATGGAGCTTCAGATGGAGCTTTTGTTGTACTGGAGGAAGGAAGATTAATGTGTTTCTTAGACAGTTTGGAAGCAATGGAATAAAATCTAGTGACTACCTTGGCAGACTGGTTTTGTGGCCCAAGTGAGCAGCAGGCAGAGGTATTTGGTAGCCATGGAGGCTACGTGGAGGCAGGCATGGTGAAGTGTGTGTTGGCAATTTCACTGGGTGCCCTATTTGAACTCTGCTAGCCATCTGGGCAGTGTTTGGTGTATAGTGACAGCTCATTTGTTCTCTGCATTAGCCAGCACCTAGTTCCCATGGTTTGTATCATCTGACAATGGGAATGAGAAGGCCTGGTCAGTGTTTTTGTATTCATTGTGGAGAACATGATCGATCCAGTGGAGTAATAGTGGTGGACTCCTTGGCACCCAAGGTTGTTCCACTGAGGAATGGCAGCCAAAGGCATGACAGGAGGAAGCTGGGGCAGTAGGAGTAGAGTCAGGTTGAGACACTCATTGTGTTGTTTTGAGTTCTATGGCCATTCAAGAGTTTTGCCTTCTGGGTCCTGGCCTGGGCTCCTGTTTCCTCAAAATGTCTTACTGCTTATGCCTTGGGAGCAGATTTGGGCTTTTAACAGGCTGATTATCTGTGATATTGTATATGACTCACCTTGAATTGCATTTGTTGGGGTTTGGGGAGTTGTGAGGAAGTGTCAAGTCCACGATGTCCAAAACCCAATTCAGAAGCAACCAGGCTTGGTTCAGAAAAATACTTCTTTATTAAGGGGTACATGTAGA